ATCTCTCAAATAATTTGAGCAAGACTGACGTGCAGGCGATGGGACGATATTTCCCAGGTTCCTTTTTTGGAATGGAATTAAATATGATCGGATTAAATATCAGAGAAGGACAAGTAATCAAGTGCTAGCAATGTATCAGGTAGACTAAAACACTAGACTAATTAAAGCGCTAGTAAAGCATTTGCTCATATGCTCAAACAGCTCTATACCATGTAGTTTTGACAGCTGTTAAATGGCTGAGGTGGAGTAGTTCGCACCTTGGAATAACAAACAACAGTTTCCAGGTTGGGATGCCAGCTGATTCGGCGTTTACAAACGTCAAACGTCTGTACAAGGCTACCAAGACTTTGGGACGCTGAATGGCACATTGAATCAGCATGAGAAACAACCTTCATAAATTGCTTTACAGATCTAGTACGTTTTTATATTTTTTCTTGGAGACGCAGATTGAACTTTGTTGTACCAACGATAAGCAAGTGATAACTGAACATATGTTAACGCTGAACTCATTTTTATCGTAGCTGCTGGAGGCACTATACACAATACTACCACTGAGTGCATTCAGTGGTTGTTGCATGTACTGTAGGGGTGAACCATACAAAAGAATGGATTTTAAGCTTTTTTCCAAAATGAATCGAATGCTGCATCGAAACAGCATCAGTGTATGCACAAAGTTTGTTTGTTTGTCACGGTAGTTTGACTACAGTTTCACTTCGATGAATATTTTGTGCAAAGGAAGTACAGAAAATCCATCCACTCTTGAAGTCGGATTGTTTATTTACGATAATTGGATTATGAGCACTATTTGAGTCTGTCAACCCGACACTTGATGACTGAAGAGATTGGGACTTGTGTTATACAGGTTTACGTATGGACGACATGAATCCCTCTTAGACCAATTAGATATCAAAATGGAACATTTTTTACCGGTTTATAAATGTCCAAATGAACAGACAGCTGACACAGAATATGATATGGACAAGTTGTAATCGGAATAGAGCTCAAATAACGCACCCATGGATTTAGACTGAAGACCCACGTAACAATGAGGAATCAAGCAGAGCCAAGACCAGCCTCGGGTACTATTCATTCCACATTGACTCAGGATCTCTCCCGGATGGAGAGAAAACGCCTGCTTGGTTAACAGGCAAAATGAATTCAGTGAACCTCAGCTACAAGAACCAATTCTCATTAATTTTGTTAGGAAAGCATGCGAAAAATACCGCACACCTCAGTGAGAGTGCAATCGCTCTCGGTAAGATCTGTATATTCGTAATGGCATTCAGTCAATCAGATGGCATGTGTATGGACTGAAAAATTGTTTGGGATTCCCTTACCCTAGTCGACTGTCAGCAAACTGTATATTGGTATGTGCATGGTGTCATCTCATCTTGCTGACCAGGATAAAGAGAGATTTTTTTGAAATCACTCGATAAATCCCTGACGCTTACTAGCAGATATTTGGACTTAAGAACAAGCCCAAACCAATAAAGGTTTAAATGGCTAAATCAAGTAGCTGAATTCTTTCGATATAATCACGCTTTGCAATAGTAGGCACTTTCCAGAAGATAATCTTTAATCAGATTCTTCAAGAGCAGTCGCAGAATCTTCATGTTCTACTGAGGGCACTCCACTTTGTAAAATGTGTTTGGTAGAGAAAGCATGCTGCTTTTTTCATGATGAATCGTGTCATATACAGAAAATATGAATTAAACGATCAGGGAAGCCTGTACGGTTATTTCAACCTTGTTGGTCACTGCCAGTAGTGAGTAAGGTTAGATGCCTCCAAGAAGCCTGGAAAGATGGGTGGTGCTGTACTGTGTATCGAAAAATGAACCTTAATTCATCTGGTTTTTATTGCAAATAGCTCCATTTAATATCTGGTTGACAAGCTGAAACAGCTCGATCTGGTGTCCGGTGGTCATCTACAATTCGGTCCAGGATTCGATTGGGACGATGAATTCGCACTGCAAAGCAAACCCGCCAAAAGCAAAACCGCTGTGGAGCACTTCTAAAAATTTCAATTTATAATTCCTTTGCTATTTATATGTATAATAAACACTGACCTTAGTCCAGACTGTGTCAAGCTCGTCACGGGACATCATTCTTTGGAACTGAAAGATTAATTCATGATTTAGACCTTTTCGGGATTAGAGCCAGGTATCCCAGACCAAATCGTAGAAGTTCTTCTGAATGATTCATTACGGGAACCTCTAACCAGCCGGAGCCTGATCCGCAAGGCAGTGAAGTGGTGAGTGGAAACCACAGTCCTGGTGTCCAGTTCAGAGAGACATACTCAATTTGGATGGAGACAAACGTCCAAGGTAACGAATACACCTTAAAGCGGATTCATGCCGTTGGTCATTAGCAGGACTACGAAACTGTACACGCGGCTCGTAAAGTTCTTCTTAATTGATTTGGAATTAGGTTTCTAGCGCACTCCCCCCCCCCCCCCCCAGGTGAACTGCTGATCGTTTACCGACTCGGTTATAGCTTTTCTGTCTCACTCTTTGATAGGAAACCAACTCTACCACGAAAAAGGATGTCAGTAAGGATTACTTAGAGAAAGCTACATGAAATGCTTCCTCATACGGAAGGTGCAACTGACGAGAAATCAGTCACAAAACAAAACACCCAAATCCAACGGCACAGGGACTTCCTGAAAGTTTGTCGGACAGAATATAACGGAATTAAATCATTCACTACTTCCTCAATAATGCATTAATTACTCAGTCCAGTTACATTGAAAAGATTCAATTTTAGATCTGCGTCGGATCACATCAAACTATGAGTTCCATGTTTTCCACTTGATAGCTAGCTACCCTAGCGGCATTGATTTTTGAGAACTTCGCTGTAACGCCGTAATTTGAGAAATCATTCTCTAAATTGTGATGGTCAGTAACATCTCATGCCGAGCACATTCCGGTTTGTGTAAAAATTAAGCAGTTTTACCTCGAGTCATACTAAAATCAGCATATTGCTGAACAGCTTTTTTCTATTTTTTCATGATGTTTATAATAATTAATTAACGGATTTAGTATGTTCAAAATTAACTAAACAACAGCACGCTGGCAAAGCCCAGATTAAAAAAATATTCCATATAAAAATTCCAGACTGAAAAAAAACGATACCGACTGTTCTTCTGTTAAACCCAGATTCTATAAGCTCCCTTCTT